CGTGCGGGTCCGCCCGCTCAACAGCAGGTAGGTGTGCCCGCCCGCGACCCGGCGCCCTGCGGCCCCAGCCCAAGAGGTGAAGCCCGCGGGGTTCCCCAGAGCTGCTGCCGCCGGGCGCCGCTGCTCAGTAACTCGGCCGCTTACCCTTTTAAATGTTTAATTAAAAAACACTTTAATATTGGCGTTATCGTCGGTGTCTCCCTCCCCGGCCTTTGCCCACCTCACCCACCTCCACCCCCTCCCTTGACCTTCTCCGAACTGTTGTGGGCGTCCTTGGGGTGTGCACAGGGTCTGTTATCCCTTCACCTTGTTGATCCGCTTACCCTCAGCTCGCCTGGGTTCCCTCATGTGTCAAGTCGCAGGGAAGGACCGGAGGGTCTAAAAGACACATTCCAGCTGCGGATTCTCTTACATCGAAAAAATTCAGTGTGGCCAGTGTGAGAGCCTTAGCCCTGCGCTGCTTCCCGCCCCCCGAATCTGCACCCACTTAGCCACCCACCCGCCAGGGAGGTCCTGTCGGAAGGGTCCTGCTGGCACTCAGGCGGGTGACACCGACCTGTCTCCCTCCTGCTGTGCACCCCGTAAGAGCCAAAGCGAGCCTGTCTTTTTTATTTTATTTTTTTTTTGCATCGTATTCAGTAGGCACCTAAGACTTCATTCAGACAATGACTGCATACAACATGCAGAAAGTGGAATGACTGGTGATATATACAGATTTTTTTATTTTTTTAGTACAGTGTACAGTACTAAGCATACTGTCATCGTGGCCCTGTGGATCTTACATGGGGCGGGAGAGACAGAACGTAAAGTAGAAAAAAAATGTAGAATGAAAACATTGATAGGCGAGTAATAAATGCTACAGAGAAAAAGCAGGGAGGGGAGGTACTGAAGTCTGTTTGCTTGTCTCGTCTCCGGCCTTCGCCCCATAAAGAAACTATTACAATACATCTTGGCAAGTGTTACCATATCCTGGCGGAGAGTGTTGGCTGAAGGCCTCATAGCCATTTGGTGAGATGACAGTTTGGGGGAAGGCGGGGCTATTGTCAGGAAACTCCTGACCCTTTTCATGAATGAAAGAATAAAGTTACTTAACGGAAAAGTCAGTCAGGGTATTCCAGGCGCAGAGGGGTTGAATCTGTTATCCAGTGAGAACCTTCAGGTAATTGATTAGTAGGGAGTTAGGATAGATATATAGATAGAGGAATTTAGAAGGTGAGGTTGAAGAGAGAGAAACATAATCCAGGTCTCCAGTGCCACAGCAAGGACTTCAGATGACCTTTAAAGGATTAGATAGATAGATACATAGATAAAATAAAAACAAAAAATAAAATAAAGGATTTAAGGGAGAGGGACCTAAGCAGGGTTGCATTTTGGGTGTGTCTTCTCAGCTGCTGGTACTGGGTAAGACAGTGGGAGTGAAGAGCTTCGAAATGAAACTCCCATGAGAGGGCAGGAGGTTATTGAAGCCCTGTTTAAAAGTGTTGACCCCTGCCCTATCTGGTTTGGCTCAGTGGATAGAGCATTGGCCTGTGGACTGAAGGACCCCAGGTTCAATTCCGGTCAAGGGGACATGCTCAGGTTGTTGGCTCAGTCCCCAGTGGGGAGCGTGCAGGAGGCAGCCAATAAACGATTCTCTCTCATCATTGCTGTTTAAATCTCTTTCACTCTCTGAAATCAATAAAAAAAAAAGTATTAAAAAAAAGTGTTGACCCCTCCCCCCCCAAAAAAGGTGGATTGTCCATGTTTATCTGATATAGATGTCATTACCGTCTTTTAAAATGGTCTTCAGAAGATGAAACATTTTAAACTATCTTTCCTATAACATTGCTCCTTTGGCCAGTGACAGTTAAATACAGTGTTTTATGGTTTTAGAGAAGAAGGTCTTGGAGAAACCACCCAGGTTTACTGGAAAACTGGCAACAATGCTGTTCATCAAGTGGACGGGAGCAAATCTTTTAATTTTGGTAAGCTTGTGCTAGCATCAAAAGGTAACCTGTTACTCTGTTCCTGGTAAGAGTACAAATTAAAAAGCCCTGGCCGGTTTGGCTCAGACTCTCCGACGGAAAGGGTCTCCGGTTGGTTTGATTCTGGTCAGGGGCATGTTCCTCAGTTGCAGGCAGGATCCCCAGCCCTGGTCAAGGCTTGTGCGGAGGCAGCCAATCGATGTGGTTCGCTCACATTGATGTTTCTCTCTGTTTCTCCCTCTCCCTCCCACTCTCTAAAAATCAGTGGAAAGCCCTGGCTGGTTTGGATCAGTGGATAAAGTGTCGGCCTGTGGACTGAAGGGCCCCGGGTTCGATTCCCGTCAGGGCACATGCCTGAGTTGCAGGCTCGATCCCCTGTACTGGGTATTCAGGAAGCAGTACAAAGGCTTGTGAATAATACTGGATTTGTCATTAAAGAAGAGACCAAGCCTTTTGGTAACTGCTTCAGTGGGTACCTTAAAAAACTGTTCATCCATGTATGAAAGGTAAGATAATAAATTGATATTTAAAACAGTCATAGCCAGAGTGTCTTATGACTAAAACTCATTTTTCCCTCTTATTTATTAGTGTATTTATGGCCTAAAACTTCGTAAGCCTAAAATGTGTCACTTAATGTGAAGTCATCTTTAAGATCATCTTTTCAATTTAGTGTTTTTTCCACAATTATTTCCAAGAAATCTCTTTAAACAATAAGTAGGGAAGATATTCGTTCTTTGCTGAAATACAGCAAGGACTCACCCCTATTTTTATGGAGCTTATCATGTGTCAGAAGGGACACCTTAATAAGTAATTACACTTATTATGACAAGCTTTTATAGTGGGGGATCTAGCTAGGTGTCTGAAATGGTACCACTTAAGCTGGGGCCTGTAGGATGAGGGAGAGCTACCTAGGACAAAGGGACTTAAAGGCCCTAAAGCAAGGGTAGGGAACATAGAGGCCTGTGAAACCATTTGGTCTGGCCTTGCCAAGGCACTAGGGCAGCCGTGGGCAAGCTACGGCCCGCGGGCCGGATCCGGCCCATTTGAAATGAATAAAACTGGGGGAAAAAAAGACCGTGCCCCTTTATGTAATGATGTTTACTTTGAATTTATATTAGTTCACACAAACACTCCATCCATGCTTTTGTTCCGGCCCTCCGGTCCAGTTTAAGAACCCATTGTGGCCCTCGAGTCAAAAAGTTTGCCCACCCCTGCACTAGGGTAAGCTAATTTAAGCAAATG